TCAGCTGATGTAAAGTAAGATACAATAAACAAGTTAAACGACGCTGCCCACCTTGCTAACTGTCGAAGAGCAAAGAGCTACGTCGATCGGTAGAGCTTACCAGGAGCTGAGTTGGGAAATGAACGGTGAGAGTCACGGCCTTTCTTGGTTTCGATCTTGAGTCTAAGTGGCGTGTCGACGCTAAAAATATTATCTCAGTAACTATAAGAGTTGAGGCGATCAATTCGACGCACGTCCCATGCATGCGATCATGCTTTTGAGTTATTCCGAGCAGGCGTAGCCGTCAGCAGCCTCGGTGGATCGTGTTGCGATCGGTTTTCAGGTTTTCATGGGCCAGCGTATTTATAGTTGTTGGTGTAGTAATCGGATAAGATTGCGGTATGTTATTGTGGATAATTTTACGCAGAAAGCGTAAAAAAGCGGTCTGTTGCTCACAGAACATGGCTCATTCTTCAATTTAAAGCAGCGATCTTCTCGTCTGGGAGATCGAAGCCGATGGCAGCATCCAAGACACTGGAGCTTATTCACAGCATAGTTTGAAGACGAGGCTAAGTCCGGACAAGGAAAACGTCGCCGTCCGGTGGCAGGGTAAATAATGACAGCGGTGATGACAATACGCATTAGCCTCCATGTCTTCCACCAGTACGTCAGGACGCGTCGATGTTGCTGCTGCTCCAACCAGAGCTGCTCTGTGTGCGTTGTCGCCGTGATCATCACGCACGCGCCATTTACTTTTGCAAGACAGGCATGCGAGGTCGGAATCAATCGTTCGGAGCTTTTTCTTTTGCTGTGAACAGTCGGTGATTTAAAACCTCCACGACGCTTGTCTCGCACCGTCAACCAACCATATCGGGTACCTAGGCCGGTCTGCATCGCATCAACGCCGTATCAAACTCCATTATCACAAAGGGCTCTATTAGTGCATGTCACGCTAGACATGTTCAGCGTCCCAAAGGGTTCATCGGGAGTTACTTGGAAGAAAAAGTGTTGGTTCAGTAGTAATGAGCCTGTCGGTCGCAGCTCTTTAGGTCACTTTCGAAAGCTCTCCGTCGTGACGAAGCGCCCTTGTTTGGGCTCGACCAAGTGGGTGGCGCAGAGACAGCGAGGTAGGCTGTGGTGGCGTTGAAGTGTATATGTTGTGGCGCGCTCGATGCGAAGACTGCAGCGGATCCTCTTGGAGAGGAAGACTCGGCGCTTCGTTGACCAGATGATCCACAAGTACAGCGACATACGGCTAACGGCGACCACAAGAGCGATGGCACGAAAGCGCTCGAGAATTGAAGTGAATGGCGTACGCAAGCCTCCTGTTAACCAGGAGCACGATCGTGGCGATTATTCCGACGTGGCAGCCGAGCTATCGACCTCGTCATGTTGTCGAACAGAGTCAGAGCGGAGCTCGAGGCTGTCGTCTACAAGGCTGGACGTTGAACACTGTCAAACGGCAAAAGCCCACGGACGTCCGCAGCAACAGGAGGAAGCGCAGCTCGATCGTTGGAGGATGTCTGAAGCTCCAACAGTGTCGGAGTACAGCTCTGCTTCATCAGCTAGGTTGACAAATCTGCTGGAGGACGGCGGCGACGAATTCGATAACCAGGAGAACCAGGGGAATCAGGGGAACCAGGAGGACCAGGAGAGCATGATTCCACGCAATGCCATCGATTCCACCTTGGAGGCGTTTGTACAACAGGAAGAGGAGGAGCAGAACCAGGAGCACTCGAGTCTATTGGAGGGCGATTCTTCTTCGACAAATCCCGAGGCTGCCCCAGCGTCGACCAATTCGGTGGAGAACCAAATCGAAGAGAACTCCCAGCTGTCAGAAGACTCGACGGAGTCCACACCGACATCATCGACCACTGAAACACTTCCACGACTACGACCAATGGCTCCTGCACATTGTGTGGTGCCCAACTGCTGCGACTACTTCACATCACCCCACCCTCACTACCCGAAGGAGGTCATTGGCAAGGCACAAAAAGTCGAAGAGCCCTTGAACAGCGATCCCTCACAAACAAATTCTACCAGCTCAGAAGCCACCAGTGAAGCCATCACCAACGAAAGCGATGGCCACTCCGAGGGTCGCTCGGAAGAACAGACCAACAACTCAAGCAGAGGTGGTCAAGACGGCGACGACTTTGAGATGTGGGACTACGTCTGTCCGCAATATGCTCGTCGCGGATATGCCAATGAGTGGGTCTGAGATCGACTCTGACAACCGATAGAAGTTAATCCACGCCATGCGTGTATATTGTCGTTTACAGTGAGCTCCCAAAATTTTGCCGGTAGCAGGGGTGCACACACATTAAACTAAAGTTATTTTCCTTACATGTGTCGCCGATTGTTTCCGATATTATCGAGGTTGCAATTTATACTGTCTGGGTCTTGCAGCCTGACTGACACCGCTTGGCTCTGAGTTTCTCTGTGCTATCAAGTGAAGTCGATGCCAAAAATATAAATTGATGCTGAAATTATTGCAATAGACTTGAATTAAATTATTTATTTTATAAAGCATTTTTAGAAAAGGAGCAATTTTAAAACTAAATGAAGGTAAAAGGCAAATTACAATTGTAAGACATAATGAAGTACAGTACCGTACTGTACAGTACAGGAAAAAGCGAATCCGTTATTTAACGTTATATTCGTCTAAAGTGAAAAGACATTAAGTTGCGCGAAGCGGTACGAAAGACATTCACACGGATTGCTAGGGGAATAAATAATTTAAATAAAAAATGTTCGTATTTTGTAAAAAAAAATTGTAATGAGTTTTTAAACTCATTACAAAAGCCATCCATGCCCCGAGATGTCGAGCAGTTTGGATTGGCTTCGACTCGATACCGACACAATGCTGTCAATCATGGATGGCAGTACAAAAGTCTCATTTCGCTGGCAATACATTCCTCTAAGCAACTGCATCGAACACCAAGAAGGCCACTGACCAGTCTTTTCGCTATGTACTTAGGATTGTAATGAGGATATTCTGGGAGTGGAAGTATGTTCATTCCATCCTGTTGATGTATTGCTGTAGGTACGACGAAAGACGCCAACTCCTCTCGATATGAATGCCATTGCTTCGATGGTTGAAGTTGAAGTTTGTAGCAACGTTGTCACTACATTTGGAAAGTACGACGAGGGAGACCGCATCATTTTGATCGGCACTACTACGTGGTTTCTGCCAACTGGGCAACTGCTTCTACAAGGCTACAGTTGGAATGTTATCACAGCTTCACCAGTTAGAGGGCAAGAAACTTGCGTGATGCTGCACTGCTACAAGCTCGAAATGGCGAAGATTGCCTCCAGCTGCACCACCAAAGCGTAGAAATTGATATTTCAGGCTGTGAGCAGTAAGGTGCCCAACTTTTACTAAACAATACAGGGTCATCTACTTAGCAGCACTGACTTCGGTCAGATCTAACGGGAGGAAGAGGTTGGCCACTACGCTTATAGCTTGCCTCACTGGTACACAGTTTTACCCCATCATGTAGAATCGTGAGAGCTGAGGTGTCCCGAGTGCAACCCATACGTCGGCCAATGCATAGATTTAACTACAATATAGATAAGCACCCGGTGCTAGGACTATGATTAGCTTTTGTCTAGAAACAACAAATATTTTTACAAGTTAACGTTACCATCGTCGGTCTCGTTTTCTTTTTTT